AAGGACACTTGTTTTTATTAGGTGATTATGGCCAGAAAATGATTAAGAAACAAAATTAATACAAACTTACTTGAGAATGTTGATTCCTTTGAGTAAGTTCTGTATATACTCACAATAAGTTTACCAGGGCAGTCAGGTAAAGAGAAGTGTACTGTGGTCTCTGCACTTGAACTAGAATCAAGAAATATTTGCAGAGTTTGATCTGTATACAGTAAGCACTTCTGTCTGTAGCATCTCAAAGCATGAGTGTGAACCTTGGATCTTACAATTGTACTGGGGCTATAAAGAGCTTATTCATTTATATGTCAATGGCAGAATGAACTCTCTTTTATAAATGTCTTCTTTTATCTTGCCTTGCAGACAACTTTGTATCAGGTTTGGGACACCAATTTTCCTTGGATTCATGTCTATACGGTGTGCATAAGTTTTCTTCAAGCCCTTACTTTCAGCACCTAACTTTCTACATATGTCTCTGAGAAGCAAATTATATTTTGTTGTTTTAAATTGAAATGTTTATTTTGCATTTGATGTAAGTATTGATATATTTGGTCATATCAATCATCTTACCATCATTTTCTTCTTAATGTTTTATATTCCTGTTTCTCTTCTTCGACCTAACTAGTCATATTTTAATTTTCCCATTTTTCTCTCCATAACCAAGAGAGTTATGTTATTTTATTTTTCTTTTAGCAGGTACCCTAGATGTTAAAATGTGTCATTGCTTTTTCCCAATACACATAATTAAATTCATTCTTTCCCTGTTACTGCTTGGACCTTAGAAAATTTTCAAGTCCACTGTTGATCTAACTGTATAGATTCAATGCCAGCTATGCTCATTTACTGAACAATGCTGCCTAACTTCCCTGTCCCTAAGTTCTTGAAATGGAAAGGAACAGAAAAGCAAGAAAACAGAAAGGCCAAGTAGCAGATAAAAAGCTTTATATATGATAAACTTGAGATGCTAGTGACATATTCATGTAAATATTAATTACAACCTCATCAGCAGCAGTGCTATGTTAAATCTTCAATGTCCCCTTAAGGTTTATGTGTTGATGCACTTGGTTACCAGTCCATGTTGCCACTGAAAGGTGGACTCTTGAGAAAGTCACCCTATTAGACAGAAGTTATGCCATTGGGGTTGTGCCCTTGAAGGGGATATTGGGACCGTGGCTTCTTCCTCTGACTTTCTGGCCACAGTGAGGTGAAACAATGTGCTCTGTTACATTCTCCTACCATAATATTCTGCCTTGCCACAGGTCCAAAATCCATAAGCAAATATAAATTTTCTCTCCTTTTATGTTATTTCAGGCATTTTGTCAGTGACATGGTGTGTTGAGATTGAGATTAAACATGTAGTACAGAAAATGTACTGTATTTAGTTATGAGATCAAATGAGTTCCTCTAGGAGACAAGATTTCCAGTGAATGACCTGAGGTGAGTGACCAAGGAAGAATTCACAAAACGATGCTGTCCTGGAGACTAGCACTAGAATGAATTACAAAAGAGGTGATTAACTCTATGAAATGCAAAAGATGGTAACTGGCCAAGTACAATAACTGAATGCTATCCATTAGAGCTGATAATGAGGCTATTCTGGCCTTGCCAGGAACAAAGTAATGGGAAATAAAAGACTGGATGAAGATGGTTCAAAGAGATAATAGGAGGCAAAAAAGAGAAGACAGCAAATTAGTTAAATTTTACAAAGAGTCTTGCTGTGAACAAGTAACAGATCTCATCCTGAGTCTCCTTAGTTCAACATTACGCTGTCGTTCAACATACAAGATAAATGATGGAAACTGCACAACAAATGGAAGAGGAGATCAGAAACATCACTTTTACCTGGTAGGTGCTGTTGCTGAGATAATCTTCAGACTACAGAATCACGGCTTGGCTCAGCTGTGTTGTAAATTTCTCTCTCATCTAGGATGCTGGTCTGTTTAGAAAATGACATACTGTGGTAACTGTTAATTTGCCACTTTTAACCATAGTTACATGATTTGTAGTTCTATAACAAAATCTAAGAAATCAGAAATTTATATACAGTAAATATCCCCTCAAAAGAGCGATTTTAGCCTCAGGGGAGAAAATTTAAAAAAGGTAAGAGGAAAAATAGAAAAATTAAAGAAGAAAAAGAGGTTGCAAGCAAGGCTGAAGGACAACGGAAGATTACCTAAACTTCAGGAAACTGGTGAAGAAAATAGGAGAAAAGAAGGAAAAAAAGAACAAAACAAAACTAAAAAACTAACAACAATGTTCACACTCATGAAAAAAACAAAAAGAAGGGAAAACAAAAAAAGCAAAGCAAAATGTTTGTGATTTCAAGCCTAGTTTTGTGGTAGTGTTTAATTCAGGGTGTGTCTTTGCTGTTACTGTTAGACAAAGGAAGCAGACAAAGCCCTGATCTGTGCTGGATGATCACTGTAAACCTCCAGTCGGATTAGGGCATGCTGGATAATCTCACCAAGTCCGCTGTAGGATTAGGACTTGGGGCTGATTCTAGTGCCTTTAACTCCACAGAAGTTCAGGATGATCCTGGCCTCCTGGATCCTGGGTTGTTCAACCTACAACACTCTGGTGTCTTTTGTTGTCCTTACCATGGCTCCCTGACCCTGGATTTCCCTTCCGAACCTTGTGTCCTGGGGATCCACCTTCCTCCTTTTCTTCCATAATTTGTTGTGTCTGGATTCCGAATCTGGGAGAGGTTGATTTGTTGCTGCTTACTGCTCCACCATCTTCCTGGAATCCAGCCTGTCGTTTAACTGGATGTAGTCTCTTAGTCTTGGAAGGATTAATAATTTTCTCTGTTAAGTGTTGGATAGGATCAAACATCCTTACTATGTTGCAACAGTAGTTCTTGATATCAGAGAACTTGAATTTTAAAAAGCAGCTCCCAATTGTGATTTTACTGAGCCACAATTTTGGGTTAGACTGTGTTATTTCAGTGTATGAGTTACTAAGATGACTTCTACACACATCTCATCATGTGTCTCTCATCTTTCTTTCAACATTATGCTGTCATTGAACATACAAAGGTATAAGTGTTCTGAGATTTGGGGCAACAAAAGTGCAAGGACTAACACTTGCTAGTACCAGAGGATCTTCTGCTCCTATCAATATTAACTGATGAACACAAAAACTGATGCATTAATTTACTAAGATAGCAATAACAAAATAGCACAGACTGGGTGACTTAAACAGAGATTTATTTTATTACACTTCTAGAGGCTGGAAATCCAAAATAAAGGTGTCAGAAGGACTGGTTATTTTTAAGGTCTCTACTTAGCCTGTAGATGGCTACCTTCTCTTTGTGTCTTATAATGATCCTTTATCTTTTGAGATGCATTCTTGGTATCCTTTTGTATGTCCTAATGTCCTCTTCTTATGACATCAATCAGAATAGATTACAGCCCACCATAATCGCTTCCCTTTAGCCAATGACTTCCTTAAAGGATATACTGCCAAATATAGTCACATTCTGGAGTGCCTGGGGCTAGAGCTTCAACATATGAATTGTGGGGGAAGATGATTGAAACAACCTGTAGTACTCTTTTGTTGCTTTCAAATATTTTAAGAAGAAAAGCAACACTGCTAGAAGCAGTTTGAAAATCAGTATCAACTTAGATACAATGAGAGCTACAGAAAACTATATACACTAATAAGTTTAATGAATACTCACAATGTTAAAATTTATACATTTACCTCATATACTGCGTGTCAGTGTGTGTATAATTTTTACATAGGTAAGTTACTCATCACAAAAAGTACTAACTACAAGGCAGTTATATCTCCTCCTTAAATGAGGTTATTTGGGGTCTGAACTTTAATCAAATAATTCTTCAGTACTATATAGATTATTAAAAACTTTACACTCAACAAATCCTAGCCATATCAGAGAAAATACGGATATATAATTTAATCACTTTCAACAAAAATTACTGAAATAAAAGAACTTACACCTTAAAAAAAAGAACCTTAGTAATCTGTAAGATTCATTTCTGTGCCGTTTCCTGATAAGAGTTAAGTGATAACTATACATGTGTCATGTGTCAGAAAAATGTTCACAATTTAAACCTAATTCTGTCTTCTGTTAAGTAAAGTTCATTATGAATGAATGATAATACACAAGTCATGGTGCAAATTTATATGATGGTACAAGTTTTCATCATCTCCTTTGAGTGATGAAGTCTGAAAAAACATACAAATACATGTCCAAACAAATCTGATACATCTGCAAAAATACTTCCTACCGCAATGTATTTTATTATTTAAAATTGTCATAGGAAAAATAATCACCAGCTAATATAGTTATATGCACAAATTATATTTTTCTTCTAATTATTTTTGCTTAATTTTGACTTCTTGGTGTCATTTTGATAATCCATCAAGTAATTATTTTTTTAAAAATCAAGTAATTATTAGCAATGATTTTTAAATAACTTTCAGTATCCAGAAATGAAAGTTAGAATGCCTTCAGTCTATTTGTCATATCTGAACATATTCATCCTCTAAAACAATATACATACTGTTTGCAAAAATGATCGTGTGATGTATACATTAAATTCAAATTTTAATGAAAGAAAAAATGGATGAGTTTATTTCACAATAACCTTTAACTTCTGAAAACAATGAAGACAGGCAACAGTCATATTCAAATGAACTTGTAAAACAATTTTGATTTTTCACTCAGAATACACGAGATGTCATTGTTAGCCCTTATACTTGAAAAATGGAGACAACTGTTCATCAAAGGAAGAAAAACAGAAGCTATTAGATTTTAAGCTCAAGTTTCAATAAAAATTAAGGTAAAAGGCAGGTTAAAAACTTCAGACATTTTCATATTGTTCAAATATCACCAAACATATTAAGGTCTTTTTCTTTCATAAAATATAAATATCATTATTTATTAGAAATAATAGTTTAAAATTAATTTGTCTTCCTAAATAACATGATTTCTTGCTTTAAAGGAAGTTTCACCAACAATGTAACTTATCATAACTGCCCTGCAGTTTTATTTATTTAATTCCAAATTATTTGGATTTAAAGAATAAATGCTACCTACTCATGGTAAACTATTTTATTCCTAGTAAATGTTATTATAATTTTATAGTAAAAAAAGTCACAGAATTTAATACACACAGTGACTAAAGTATGGGCTTTTGTACATAGACAAAATCTGACAAGAAAAACACCTAACAAATAGGAAAAAAATGTAAGAAATAAAGTTTAGCTACATAAAATGATTTTTAATATTAAAGGTCATCAAGCCTAATACAACCTGAAAGAAACTTGAAAAGTGCCACCTATAACATAAGCTATAAAATATTATTGTCTGTCTCAGATTTCCAATTTTGTAGGTGACTTTTTATGTGGAAACAAAAATAGACGGCTTTGTTATTTTCATAGTTACAGGCAGAATACCAATGCTTTATTAAAACAAAACAAACAACAACAACAACAACAAAAACCCAAAAAAACTAAATGGAATGTGATTTGCTGGTCAGAAAATGTGTAGCAGACTTAAAGAATCCCCCTACCTTCATATGGCCCTATGTTCAGCACGTCCAGTTATTTCTGACAGTGCAGAGAAAGATATTGCATTCTCGTGTATGAAAATTCAATGTCAGAACAACAGCAGCAAAAAGATACTGTGATGATGCATTTTGTTCGTACCAATAATATAGTTGGGAACTCCAAAACCTTGCTTGCATACATACAGCAACAGTGCAAATGACATCTGTGCCAGGCCCGTGCGTAAAGCCTCTCCAGTGCAGTGTAAGTTTCCTCTTAGCACTGCCCTGGCGTGGACTGGAGTGCAGTGAGTGTACACTGTGGCTTGTTCACCAATGCCATAAATAAGAACAGCCAGTGCCACTATTCAGTTTGGCTGCCTGAATGCAGGCAAATGATATTCTGGGGATATCTTTAAACCCTGGGCTTTTTTCTTAACAAGCAGTTTTTCCTTAATGAATTCTGGTCCTAGTGAACTAGAAGGAATCTTAGGTCACCTCCTTGGATGGCAGGGTATATGTTAACTTTCCTCTTTTTAAAAAACCCAATGTTATTTGTTAGCCACTAAAATAAAATTTCCCCCTTTTCTACTCATTCCCTTTCTTTTCCCTAATGTGGACCCTATGTAAACCTAAAAACATGGTAACTTAATATACAGGTTTTCTCAAAGTGCAAAATATGTTACAGATAGTTTCATAGGCTTTATTTAAACACAACATTTTATACAATACAGTACAGTCTGAGATTTCTGCTCATAAGTTACCCACTTAGCAGACCACTATTTTAAAAGGGTTGACCACTTAAGAGTAACTCAGTGCTTTCTTACATGAAGTTAATACAATTGAACTTTACAAGTTTTGTTCAAAGCAAAACAAAGTTAATCTTACAATTACTCACATATATACATATTTTAAAATGCTCTTTAAATGTTTAAGCTTAGACAGACATATTTCTTAAATATAGACCATGTTTGCTTATAAACTCATGAATTATTTTATAGTCTGGTTTCTACTTTACACACATTGTATACAATATTTAAAAAAATAATCTGTGGATCAATTCATTTTACTTCTTTCTGCAAAATCTGTTCACCCTGTAACTCTTTAGGCAGGGTTCTTGACCGCTGTAGAACCACACTAAGTTCTTCAATTACCTTTGATGGCAATTTATGATCTGAGTCCAAAGTAGTTTTGTTATTTCTGTCCTCAGTCTTCTTCGATGTCTTTAGGTCCTTATGGCCTTTCTGCTGCCCCTGCTGGACCTCGGCCTCTGTGTCCTCTAGACAGATGAAACTCCGGTGTTTTCTGGTCCGATTTCGAAGTTTATCCTCTTTGTGCTCAAGGCACTGAGCCACGATGGAGGCTCTGTCCTTTAAGCTAGGTTCCATGGACTCTCTCTCATGCTTTTCACTGAGCCGCAGCCTTTCAAGCTCTGCTCTTGCACTCTAAAAATAAGATAAAATAAAATAAAACATCTCACAGGAAAGCAAGATTTGGCAAAAATGATATTCACAAAACATATTCCATATAACAGTTGACGCTTCCTATACAAGAATTTATTTCTATAATGTAGGTTCTAATTTTACGTTGATGTAAGTGGTGCATCTGAATTTATATATTAGTCTTAGAGCTGCATTATCAAATGAAATGCAGATAACAAAAATTCATTTTAACATGCATTTAGCACAGCAATCAAAGATATTTTTCAGGTTATTCAGACTGATTCTCATTTCTAAACTCTTCCAACTAATTTCTACTTTTGTGCCATAAATGCATGCACGCTTAGTTCCAAAAGTGTTGCACACTCAGCAATGAGGAAAAAAATACTCTCCTTGGCCATGTGAACCAGGAAAGTGCTCTGTGTCATAACTTTCTTCGAGATCCATAATATAAAATAAAGATGCTGAGAATTATTAAGGGAGAGAAACTACTTAACTCTGTTGTTTCTGTTTTATTATCCCAATATTTCTGGCTAGTGAAATCTTTCTCCTGCATAATGCCTATTGGGATTCCCTGGGGATATTTTTAAAAACACGAAAATACGCTAATAACTGCTTTTGTATTAGTGGATTAGAATTCACAATTGTAACTATCAGGACCTACAAGTACTAGAAGTGCACTGCAACACAACACCTACAACTGAGTAAAGTAGACTTTTAAAAGTAGTATGCAGGACAAACTGGCTGGGAAATATCTAGGGTACAGACTTTCCTTGGCTTCTCAGGAATCATGACTCATTCAAGTATAAAATATGGCTTTATATATCACAGTAAGTTTTCACAACTTTTCAGCTGAAAGACTTAGATGCAGAATTTAGGAGCCAAATATTAATGTATATAGTGCTGAAATTTTAAGTACACTGTAAGGTTCAATATTAGCTTAGATTTATAAGCTTGTGTGAAGGCGAGGAATGGTAAAAGTGATCTGTGAAAAGTCAGAGTATGGAGTGGGCAGAAGGTAAATATAGAAAACCTGCAGTGCTTTACATGAATAATATAGTGAGCTGGAGAGGCTGGCAGGGGAGGAAAGAAAACTACTGTCCTCAAATGACAAGGTATTAATTTAAAAAGCAAGATAGATAAAGTGTAAAAGCAGATGAGCACGAGGTGGCTTGCTCCAGGCAATTTGAGTCTGCGTTGTAGCAGAGAAATGGTGCCTATTGCTCCCAGCTGCAGAGTGCAGCTCTTTCTGCAGAGCTGAATCAATGGGCAGTGAATGGATCATCAGAGCAAATCACTCACAAGGCCTTAGTCTGGGCTCTTACATGGTTCCCATTAAACACACACACACACACACACACACACACACACACACACACACACAACACAACCTCAGGAATTCTTTAAAGTACTTCTACTATGAACTCACTTATTAGGTGGTAATCTCCATGGTGTAAAACATACAATCACGTCTAACTAAATTTAATTCTAACAACACCTCAACTTTTCCATGATCATTCACAGTGTAGTTGTATTTTATGGTGCAGAAACACAAACTCAAGGAATAATCTGTCTGAGGCCACATAAGAAAAACTTTGAAGTGAGGCTAGAAATACTCAAAGAAATAATTTGCCATCAATGACCTAAGAGTGTGTGAAATGGGAAGCCACGGGGCACTGTGGCGGTTGTGTGCCTTTCCCACTCCTGCTTCCAGCTCCACCTCTGGCCTTCTGTCCTTGAGCAGCACAGGGCATGCAGCATCCTACCTCCCAGTGGCCTTCTGGCAGTAGGTAGTGCAGGGTGTGCTGGGCATTGCATCCAGGGCTGTGTACAGATCCTCACAGGAGGAAGGAAGAGAGCCTGAGGGTGGGCCAGCGTCCCCGGTTGGCCAAGCATATCTGTGTTAATTCTCCAAATGGCTTCCTACTCCTGGGCCTTCCAGGTACCTGCTACCTTCCTCTCTTGCTGCCAGAGGGAAAGTCTGAAGGTGTGAAAGCAAGAAGATGTCCCTAGAGAAGTCCACAGCCCTGCAGAGCTGAGACCAGCACCTGAAGTACCTCCTGAGCAAGCTGCCTGACTGGCATGGAGGAGGTAACAGGATGGAGAGAGCCCTATGGAGACACTGTTGCAATATGCCTAGAGAAGTAAGCACTGCTTAGAGACCACTGGCCTGGACTGTAGAAGAGGGAAGCCCAGGAGACCAGGCACCTATGTAAAGACAACAAGGTGAGGCCCGAGGCTGGGCAATGGGACCCTTGCTGTAGCATATCCTGTTGAAGATGCTGCAGTCTCTGGAGTGACCCCTTTGTAGTGGCCCTGTTCCTAAGAGGCCACCCCCTTGGGCTGCAATGGCTTTTCTTGAGTAGCCACCTGCAGGAAGCAGCAGGCAGGGCAAATGGGGTCATGTTCCGGGTTGGCCTGTATTACAGATTATTCCCTGGTGCCGAGGTCTGGGCTCCAGCTCCTCTAAGTTAGACCCACGATGGTCAGCCTCTGGGATGTAGGCAAGCCTGCTTCAAGGACTGTGAGGTTTGCAGGGCTCTCACAGGAAGGGCCAGGCAGCCAAAACTGTTGTTTGTTTTTTAAAAGGGTTTCAGAGCAGTGCTGTTTACTAACAGATATGAAAATATTGTGATGTGATAACAACTGTGTTAGAGATTGTAGCATAAGATGCCATCACACAATCTGCACAGGGCAGAAGTCCTTTCTATGGCCAGTGTCACAGGTGGCAAACTGGATCTGCATTCTTGCTTTCAAGTCACCGTAATCAAAATCAGATCAGGTCCTTATCCTTTGTTCTGGCTGCGCTATACACTTCAGCCGTTGCAGGGGTCCTACAGGAGTGAGGCTACAAAGGTGGAGGGCTTCCTGGAAGAGGAACAGCAAGTGCGCACCAAATTATATACCACCTACAGCCACAGAGGCTGTGGATTTCCAAAAGAAAATTCAGGCTTTCAGGTGAACTGTCCAGATTTTCAAATAATTGACAAATTCAAATTCTGATCAACATTGTGATAATCAAACCAAACAGTTTTGAGGTCATAAAATATTCATGGTACTCATCACCTTTGGCACTGAGTCCAGCCAAACCTCTTATTAATACACTTCTCCTCCACTGTAAAAGTAACACAGAAACATTATAATAGCAAAAATTGGCCCAGTGAAAAGGAACATGGCTGTAATACCCAAAGGATAACTCTTAGCAATTTCTTATATGTCTTTCCAGGTAAATGTATGTGAGTATAAATCTATTTACAGCCACCAGAAACTTGCCAGCCATGTGAGTGGGCCACCTCTAAAGCAAATCCTCAGACCCAGTGAAGTCCTCAAATAACTACTGAACTACTGAGCTTTCCAGCTACACAGCAAAAAGGAACTATCCCTGCTATGCCCTGGCTGAATTCCTGACCACAAAAACTGAGAGATAATAAAACGTGTTCCTTGTTTTAAGACAAAGAGCTAGAGAGATACACACAGGGAGCTCAGGTTGGTTTTCTGAAATGGATGTGCTTCTTTCTAGTACATCAAACTGCTCCAGGATAGTAAGGAACAAGCAGATGGGTCACTATTATTATGTTCTGTTCAACTGTACCATTCTTCTTTGTTCATTATTTTACAGAAGTCATTTAAAAAAGCAATGGCGGGACAGGGGATTTAGCTCAGTGGTTCTGCCGCCTGCCTCACAAGCATAAGGACCCGAGTTCGATCCCTGGTACCAAAAAAAAAAAGAAAGAAAGCAATGGCTTCCCTCCCTTTTCTTTTGAGAGAGAATCTCGCTGTGTTGTCCAGTGTGGCCCCTGAGTTCTGGACTGAAATGATCTTCTTGTCTTGGTCTCCCTAGGAGTTGAGATTGTAGGTGGGTATCACCACACTCAGCTTTGAATGGCAATTTTAATGGAATTGTCTCCCAAGTTTATTATTTTGTCCCAATATATGTTAACTATATTGTATGTCAGGTGTTATTACAATATATTATCAAATTTAATTATGTAATCATCACAACCACCCTATAGGGCAGAGGCCTTTACTAGTTCCACGTATTTACAGATAAATAAGCTGTGGTCACAAAGTTAAGGCAGGTTTTAAGAGTTTTACAAAACAGGAGCACTGACAGGTGGTTATCTAGCTTATGCATTCTTCCTCATTCTGTCTCTTGTGTAATTTCTTCTGCCAACAATTTACTTTTCTTGGTTTATTCAGCTAGCTTCCAAATTTACTTAATTCATTTTCTAAGGTGCTTTCTCCAGGAAGCTTTTTGAGAGGTACTTTTACACAACTTTCAAAAGAACCTCATGAAAACCAGGCTAAATTAACAAATTTCCCAATCTGCCAAGAACTTGCCTGAAAAATTCTTCCTACACATATACCTCAATATTAATGTTTTTTTTCTTATGAATGCATTCCACTTAGTAATTTTAAGTTAATTTCCATTTTTAAAACATAGGCTCAGGGCCAGTGATTTAGCTTAGTGGTTCTACACCTGCCTTGCAAGCACAAGATCCCACATTTGATCCCCAGTATCAAAAAACAAACAAACAAACAAAACAAAACAAAACAAAACAAAAAAATGTAAGTTCAAAATTGGGCAGTCGTTTTATAAGTATATTTTCTAATATATTTACATAAATCTAACTCTATAGTATACATCTTAATGTTTCACATGAAGAATTTTGTATTAATTTTGTTTCAATGCCTTTTCAAATGTTTTTCCACTACTGAAGAAACATATTTGTAAAATCACTAAATCATATTTATCAAATTTACAAAAGAAGCTTAGATTATTTTAACTCATACATTTTCCAGCAATTAAAAACAGCATGATACTGGCAAACAACAGACCCAAAGACCAGTGGAATAGATTAGAAGATGAAGAAACAACTCCTGACATACTCAACTACCTCATCTTTGACTAAGCCAAACAAACTCTCTGGAGGAAAAATAGCCTCTTTTAAAAATGGTGTTGGAAAAACTGGATTTCAACTTGTTAAAGATTAAAACTAGACCTG